CTGCGGAGCAACGATCACCGAATTAGAACACAAAAACAATCATAGCTGCGAAGCAATTTTTAGTACATATTCTAGCTATGATAGCCAACTAGTCATATTTGAAAAATACAGGTGATCATCAAGAAGAGATCGATAGCACTGCTAAAGCTCGGTCTTTCTCTGAAATACTGGCGGTTCGAAAGAGATACTCCATGTAAACTTCGTATGGATCGATATCTTCGAACTTGTGGAATGAGATCGGTGACAGTCTTCTAAATTAAAATACATTATGCACGCAAAAAAATTGAAAACAATCAAAAAGTGAGGTATGAAAAAGGAATGGCCAGAAAAGGGGTATCGTACCGAATATATTGATCTGGATAGTCGATCGGACGGGCTTGGTGAAATGCGGAGTTATGGATTATGGCTACGCCATTTCTTTGAGAACACATACCTGTAGCAATGTACGGAACTGACTTTTGCTGGGATCAAAGTGGCATTTATAGGCAACATTTTGGGAGTATTGGTAACTCCGGGAAAAGAAGTGTACACGCATCGATCAGGGGCCGTAAGGTATGCTTCCCCGAAGGGTTGGGGACGAAAATCCCTTTAAATTTTCTCTGTCTTCCCAACTGGGATTGTCCTGATAAAGGGCCTACATTTAATATGTGTGTAGGTTAAAGTAAACATGCACTGAAAATGAAGAAACAGTATCGTTCAAAACAAATAAATTTAAGGGGCTTTCGTTTCCCAACTATTCGGGAAAGCATACCTTACGGCTACAGGAAATTGGAGAACCGGCGAGTGAGAAAACCGACAAAAAAGGTTTCGTACATTCACATCGGTCGACGCTGCCCTCTTAATTTTGTTGTAGTTTGAGTTTTCCAATCCTACCAATCGACATGCATCCACTCCTTTCCATCTAGCCAATCTCAAAACATTGCGTGTATGAGCGACCTAATACCTTACCAATGATCATGTCATCAGGTGCGTCATCGGCAGGACACGCACAACTGGAGACTATGGCTCGAGCTGCAGAAGGGGAGAACACCATTCTAAAACACCAAAGTATTCATGCAACCTCAAGAACTAGCACAAATTTTGTGTCATGGTCATATAGAATACCCTGCTCCGCCAGTCGGGTAGTCGTAACCGGTGGCGCCAAAGCTAGAGAATCCGTAACCATATCGTTCACCTATTATGATCTGCAAATGAAATGATGGGAAGGCAAAGTTACCACTGGAATACTAATAAAGTAAGTACTTGAAAGAAATCGTAAACGAAAACAGCGTGATTTTGTCTCACCCATAAATTGTTCGCCTGAGCGCCATACCCAAGAATGGGAAACGGATGAACAAAAAAATTGCGCTCATTTTGGTTAAGGATCAAAAACGTGACAACGATTACAAAAGCAATACCACCACACAAATGGCATAGTGTAGCAGAACCGGTTCTAACTTTCTTGAAGTGCCAACGCTGGGAATTTTTTTGACCTTCTGACCTATGGCAAGAACATTACATTCTACTATTGTATCATCATCTATCGACTACTTCCCATGGCCGCCTAACACGAGACCACCCACCACGTTCCACTTCTATTAGCTTTGTTAGCTCTCCGCAGGAATCAGTGTGGATCAATAGAGGTGACTTTTAAAAGTTTGTCTCTTTCTGAAATCCCAATTTTCATGGATGAAACTTTGAATACTTCTACAACGAACGCATATAACGATAGACAACAAGTTTTCGTAAGAGCAGAAGCTTTTCTCGAGCTTTGGTGAAGGTTTAAAGCTTAGGCATATGATGTTATACGGGAGCAAAAAATGACCTACAAGCTCAGCGGTACTACGCGAGAGCGGACAAGAAACATATACAAACCTTTTCATTGCTGTCATAGCACGACAGCAGACGAAGTAAACGCGGAATACTGATCAATGTGTCGTCATCGGAGATAAGCAGCCACAAAAACTTTTGTGAATTAACATCAGCGTCCAATAGATCGACGAAGCGTTTCAATATGACAAAAGTTTTGCTACAATGCCCTGAAAACTGACAAATTGTGAACGCTGTGGAGCAAAGGTGACAGTACTGATGTGAGGGCTACAGACTGAGTATGCTAATGCTTTCAAATACTAAGGCCAATTGGAGAGACACCTACAATTATCTACATATAATATGAAAGTCAAACATTGTACACCGCCGGTATACAATGGAAAAGAGCGAGGCAAGAACGACAGTTTATGATCACTCGAAGCAATTAAGCTACAAAATGAGTTTGGAGGTGAGAGGGGACAGCCCGTGTACAAGCCAGTATTTTTCTGCCTCCAAACAAGTCTGGTACCAATTGACCGATTTCGTCAGGATGATAGAAGATTTGATGCGTTTGGCGGAGCGGAACAAATGGTTATCCGTTAACACGAGGCCAGCCAGGGCTATGAGGTGGAAGTGCGCATCCCGCTCGAGTCTCTAAATTTGTACAAATCTTCTTCGCCACGTGACGTGGAACGGTCTCAGAATGAGAAAGACCTCAACCTGTTCTTCTTTCATCTGAATAGCTTGATCAAGCTGTTGACAGCTGACCCATTGCTGCGGCATTGGTCGTAGCAGTGCTGCCCGCATGCCATATCCCATGTAAATATCCGCGTGCGGGAAGATGATTCAAACCAAAAAACCTGACAGAGATTAACGGCGATCATTCCAATGCACATCTCCTCCAATTTTTCAGCAGAAACGAAAACATGGCATTTACGCGGCTGGATTCCGGTAGTAAGAGCCTCCGCATTGCTAAATTAGGGCACTGGCGCTTGTGGGGTTGTTTATTGCGCACTATCTCCTTCTTATCAAGACCGTGCTGGAAAGTTAATCGGAGGAATGAAATAAACATGGCAAAGTCAGATCGTGCTTAGGTTGGTGCGGGCTCAACGCATGTGAAGCTTGAAAATTTTTTTGGAATCCATATTGTCCTGTGGAGATGTCTCAGTATGACCGTTTTGCCATACCACAAATGTTCTGCCTAACTACGGTTAACCTGTTCTCTTCGTCACGAAAAGCCTCCACACTGAAAGTCAAGCCGATGTATATTTTTTTATAAGAAAAGGTACACTCAAATAGTATAAATAGAATATAAGAGTGGTGCACAGAGGTTTGAAAGAGCTTGCCCATATCCACGATTGGAAAACCCTAATAGGTACTCATAAAAAGATATTCAAATAGCTTTTGGAAAATTGAAGTTATGGCCAACGTGT